CGCTGGTTAAAATGTATTAAGAGATCGATTTAGCAGTAGGTACCATAATTTATGGTGATTTGTGCTGTTTAGTTTATAGCAGAGTAATTTAGCCACTCTCAAATGCAGGCTGTATTAAGCTTAGGTTTCCTAGAAAAGCGGTGCCGTTAACTAACGGCCGTCATCTTACGGTTGTTAATTACGGCCATCTTTATTTTTTAACATAATGCAAACAAACAATCTTTTTCGCTCATCCAAGTGACGTTTCCACTCATTGTATTAATTAAATATGGGCACCGCTACACGCGACGTTAAACGTAAAACGTTAAACTACTGTTTATCACCGCTATGACGGCCGTCATGCAAATGACAGCACCGCTATTTGACGTTACGGTGACACTCAACGTTCTCTAGAAAACCTACTCCGATGTTATTTATAGACGACGTATGGGTGACCTCACCCAACGTTATATTACGGCCGTTAGATAACGGCACCGCTTTTCTAGGAAACCTAAGCTTAAAAGGCAGATAAATGTACATACTTATAGTCGCCCGCCAGCCATCCATAATGCCCCATGGATGATGTTACCTCACTGAATCGTGCGTATTGAATATATCTGAAAGTATTTTATTTATTTATTTTATTTTTAAGACAATTCACACCAATAACAGTAATTTTTCGGTGTTAAGTTTATATTTTATAAAACAGGAGGAAAATGGACTAGAGGCTCTTCTGATGTTAAGTGATACTGCCACCCATGAACACTCCATGCCAATGATCGCGAGTGCGTTGGCTTTAAAAGTATTCATGGTATACATAGAATAAAATTACATACTTATTAGATGCACAATAAGACCAGCTAAGCGGAGAACTTTTCACCAATTCCCCTTCATCTGGTGGTGGACTGAATTCTGAAAAAAACATCTCTTCCTATGTTTTTATGAAGAATTAGAGTCGAAAAAGTAAAATTGAATTATATCAAGAAATGTGTTAATTGTTCAGAGATTCACTTCTGTACCATATCTAGCGTACAGCGATTTTTCAAACAACTTTTATAAGCAGAAATTAGCGTATTTTTCATACTCATCTGTTTATCTCACTCAGAACTTGCAAGCAGTCTTGACCTAGTGGCTTCAGCGTGCCCCTTTCATCCCTGAGGTCGTAGGTTCGATCCCCGGCTGCGCATTAATGGACTTTTTTTCTATGTGCGCATTTAACATTTGCTCGAACGGTAAAGGAAAACATCGTGAGGAAATCGGCTTGCCTTAGGCCCAAAAAGTCGAAGGCGTGTGTCAGGCACAGGAGGCTAATCACCTATTAGATTGACAAATGATCATGAAACAAATACTGCCTTGCGATTCTGTTACTCAAGAAGGGAGCTTGTAGTTTATTGTTTACCAGAATGCCAAATCGTAAAATGACTGCTTTACGACTGATTTGAGCGCGACCGCCGCTGTGAAAACCGCTGTGTGAGTTCGAAAAGTGAGTTACAGAATCGCAAGGCAGAAATGTAAGGGCCCAAACATAACGCGTTGTAGAGCCACTGATTTTACGGAAAGGTAGCTAAAGACACCTCACCTTCCCAATGTTTGCAATAGTACAAATCACCCGCACAGTGGTTCACGAATGTGTAGAACTTAAAATACAATCCATGGCCTCGGTTGACAGCGACACACACAGGATCATATGTGTTTGGACAGGACATGGGGCAGAGGTGGTAGTCAAATGCTGTTTCTATGTCGTAGAGCGTGCTCCATGTTGTCTCTGGGTGGGCACGCAAATCTGCAAAAATACTTACTTAATATAAAGAGAGAAGTCTATACATATTTATTTATTTAACATAGGGAGAACAACGGGTGATCTAATCGCTTTTAGGCAACAACAAGAACTTAAAGGAATAAAGAATCAAAAACCAAACAAAACAAAAAAACAAAAAGAATAGAACAAAACAAAATGATTAAAATATATACAGGGTGGCCAAAGAGTCGTGGATCAAACGCAAATAGGGGATAGATGAGGTCATTAGCTGCAAAAAATTGTTCTACGGGAGGTCTCTAAGCTCAACCCCTGCAGAGTTATAATTTATTTTGCGGTTTTATAAGAAAATTGACTTTTTTTACTAATTCTTATTAAAATTCGAAAATATCTACACCTGTATCTTTTTCATAATATCCACTAGATTGGTACTGATGAGTTCCTGCGTTAGACATACTATTTATAGTTTTTTATTGAGTGTATTGAAGATAATATTAAGTTATACGATATAAATTTTTTTCAAATCATAACTTTATGTTTACTTCGGACCCCACTGTGAAAAAAATTACTCTACCGAAAAGTGACCCTGTATTACAAGTTTTGGCGCATTTAATAGGGATTCTGAAAATGTAGTACACATGGCCATGAGTCGCTCTAATATCTTTTTTTTTTTTATATATAAGTCTTTATCTTGCAATCAGTCAGCTAGACTATGAGCAGATGTGTTGAGAGCTGTTAGGCGTTCAGAGCAAAATGTCCATCGAGACTGCTCCTCTCTTTCAACCGTGTCTATCAAGACTTAGGATTTGTCGCCTTTTAAGCCTATTTATTAGGTCCGGTATGGTTAGTTACGTGCCAAGCTTATTAGGATGCATTTCTAGCCTTTTTCTGTATTTCATACTCCAGGTCTTGATCTCCTCTTTGGCAGTCCTGATTTTGAGGTGCTCATGAATCTCCGATGTTTTTATAAACCACGGACAGTTGGATATTTGTTTCAAGATGCAATTTTGAACCCTCTGTATCTGTAATATCTTTTATAACAATGATTATTACTCACGTTTCAAACCCTTTCGTTGTTGGGTGGTATTAAATTGAAACTTGATTGTTGAGTTCCGTTCTGCCTTTTTAACTATTGGGGCGTTTATTACACTACTTCTCCGGATGTTTAAGAACTCGCGACATGACCCAGATACAACGATGGCGAATTCTAAAACATGATTATAGTAAAGAAGTTTAGAGTATCTGAATTTCTACGCTACTATATACAGGATGTCCAAAAAGTCGTGGATCAAACGCAAATATTTAGATAATTATACAGGGTGTCCCAAAAGTCGACGTCAAGTCGAAATTTTCTCATAGGTAATGCCACACCAGTTATTATTACCTTATTAAATGTGCTAACTTTTAAAGCTACTTGCCAAACTGGAGTAGTACATTTTTTTTTCAGGACGATCAGTTGAACTAGTGCGAAAAATTAATTTTGAAAACTTGGTACGGTATAAAATGACATTTTCCTACAAGTTGGAGTGATCGGCACAGGGTTTAGGATCATAGGTTACATAAAGCACTATTCGGGATGACGTAAGAGAAAAAAATTGGCAAAAAGTAAATATTTGTAACAACAGGAATGAAAAAACTGTCACATGGTGTGCATTTTCTGGAATAACAAAAAAATATCCATAACTTCAAAAATACATGACTTATTTTTTTTTTTCTGATAACTGGTGTGGCATTACCTACGAGAAAATTTCGACTTGACGTCGACTTTTGGGACACCCTGTATATGTAGTAGTATATATATATATATACGAAGTAATACAAGAAGCTGGTGCTTGCGACTGTGTCCACGAGCACTTCACTCCCTTGCTAAACAAATTCAGTTAGAACTCATTAAAATATGGTCGAAAACGCTCGCCCGCACCGCACTGGCGACGTAAAGTCAAAAATCATGTAGGTATTCATAAAGTTAACACAATGTACACTAATGAACGTCAAAAAAGAAACATACATTAAATGCTTCTAATTTAACATTAACTGCCAGTTCTCAAATCAAGGGTGTAGAACGGAAGAGAACTGGCAATAAACTCTCCGCCACTCTTTTTAATCGCCAAGTTTTTTGTTTTACACAACGTTTGTAAGGTGCTGCAACCATTTCACCATGTTCCACATGACATCTTAAGTAGTGTATTAAATTATTGTATAGGCTAGATAAATATATTCTCGCACTATTTTTGTGAACTTTATTCTAAGGGAAAGAAATACCATGCGCAGGATTATCACACATATTGGTCATATACAAAAAGCACGTGTTTTCAAAATCCCTGTAATCCATAATTTCGTGAGTTAATCGCACCGCACAAACATTACTTGAATTACTTTTACAAATAACGTCAACATTCGAACACACTGCACGCACTTTCGCAAATTTTAAATGTTCAGTCATTAAAACGTCCGGTTTTGAGTATACTGATACTACGTTCAATATCAGTAATGTTATATGTCTCAGCATTGTGACTTAAAGCAAGGTTTAAATTACACAAAATTATTTTGAACAACCTATAAAATTGATAAGGTTAATTGAATTCCTTTATTAAAATGAAAATTTCATTCAAAGAAAGCGTCACTTGTTGGTATATACCTACAGCTTAAAGATATTTAGCTAACGTTTTATTACAATTATAATAATAAGCCTTTATTTGTCCACATATAATTGACATACAGTTAACAAAACTACTGTCCGGGAGAAGGCTTGCTCCAACTTTTCCACCCTATTTTTTTTCCAGCTACCCTTTCGATCGGCAGCCCATTCTTCTAGGTGTGCCCTTATTTCTTTTTTCTTTTGGGCCAGTCCATTCAGTTAGCGTTTTTGACCATCTGTCATCTGTATGACGGGCTACGTGTCCTGCCATCATTTAAGTTGTAGGAAATGTTGCTCTATAATAATTATTTTTGTTTATCTGCACTTTCACTATTCTGTTTGCCGCGTCATTTAATTCCCAGAATGCTTCTTTCTATCGCAAGCTGGCTAGAATGTATTTTGGAAAATGTAACTTGGTGCTCCATATGTACCACCATTTTCATTGGTTTAAGTGGGATTTATTTTACGGTCCAAAACTTCTTTTAAGTTGTAGCGCACGAGTTCGTTGCCGTGACATTGGTTCTTAAATTAAACTTGTTAGTTGTTTGCCAAGATATGTAAGTAAAGCCGTCAACGCAATGGCAGTTCCGTTTAGCATAATAGGGTTAAATATGCCTTGACAGTTTGATGTTCAAACTGTCCTTTATCTCACAGATCTCTGACCTGCCACGTAGTGCAGTTACCTGGTGTGAAAGAGATAAAGCTCAAATAAATAACTACCGTGATCTTTGCAATATTTATTTAAAAGGAGTCGATTTCCCTCAGGAGCTAGCCAGCTGCTGTCACAGATCATGTGCATTGCCAGAGCACAAGCTTATTTTAGATAAATTATATCAAACAATAGTTAATATTTTATCTGAGGCTGCTGTATCAACTCAAGTGATAAAGCCTAGGAAATGTAGACAAAATAAGTTATATGGTTGGAATAGACAGGTTCGAGAGGCTCGCTTGGAGGCTCGGCTTAGATTCAAGTCCTGGTTATTTAATAATCGACCTTCTTCAGGGGCGGTTTATGAACAAATGTGCCTTTCTAGAAAAGTTTTCAAGAGTCGCCTGAAGTTGGCTCAAAATAACCAGGAGCAGATCAAAATGGATTTAATAGCTGAGCAGAGAGACAACAAAAACTTTGTTTAATTTTGGAGGTCCACAGGTAAATTGAATCTTAGGCCTAGTATCCCAGCGAGTGTAGGGGGTGAGAGTGACCCAGAGAAGATTTCGAATGAATTTATGAAACATTTTAAGGTACGGTCTCCTCTGGGCCCCTCAGTTGGGGCGCCTTTCACTGCCAAACAAATTAAAGATATTTTAAATACCATGGGCAGAGGTAAATCTCCTGGGCACGACGGGCTCATTCACGACCTGATCGTAGAACTTAGCAGCATGTGTGTAGGTTGTAGAGTTAATGGAGCATAGTGATAAGGAGGGAGCTTGTAGTTTATTGTTTATCAGAATGCCAATGTCAATACAATAAAGAGTACCGAGAGTTTTTTACGCCGGCTTTTTCTCTCGACCTACACCCTCTGTCTTCTTTGCCAATGAGTAGGGATGCCGACCGATTTTTAATGACGTAGAATAAGTGATAACTGTATCTTATGGTCCATAATAAACTATTTTATTTTTATTTATTTTACATAATTTATATGTTAAAAAGGCAGAAAGTAAATTAACTGATCAAAGAAATGATTTCTGGAAGTGTCAAGTATGAAGTCGAGAAAAATATCCTAATATATTTACTGGGCTTGTCTTCCACAATCATAAAATAAAATAATTAAAATAAAACGCCACACGACTAAGGATTTTCCTGATAACATTGTAAATTTATATCATTATAATACACTGACAATTTCATGAAAAACGTTTTAATTTATTATTAAATCCAGCGACGCTACATCCCCATATAGATATCACATTACAAATTGAATACAGACCTGAATGTCTCGAGCTCAAACCACTAGAATACACTGTTCTGCCTCTGCGACCACCAACAATAAAATTAAAAAAAATATTATAATTAATCTCTCGCCTTAATCTCCTAACATGAACAAAGTAAAAAATAATTACCAAGAATATTCAATAAGACTATAAAATCATTGTGATATTAAACAAAAAGACAGATCCTGTCTCGTGTCTGACTACAGTGGTTTACAAACGAAACGCAACATCGTTTTGAAGAAAATTTATACTCGCATTAAATTCTATGCACAATTTTATAAATAATGTAAATATAGGTTATCTTAACATATTCATTTGTTTAACGAAAAATTGTATAAATACAAAAAAAGTAATAAATTAATTTGAATTCGTGTCAACCGAAATAATAAACTTTTAGCGTTATAAAAACTGCTGTGTATTGATAAACGTAGCCTTGAAATGAACAATTAAACGTAAACGTAATTAATTTTCGAAGTTAATTATTATCAGAAATATTAAAAGAATATAACTTAACCTTCTTCTTTAAAATTGTCTACATTTCATCGCATATTTAATAATGTCATAAATGTACTGTTTTGCGAAGGTGATTGCGTGATTTTGGCCATTCATTATCATTAAAACCCGAATCAAAACCTGGGTATTGACTTGGGAATAACTCGGACTCATGTGTTATTGAAATAAAAACTCATTAGTGTATATATATTTTTTTATTATTGCAATTCACTATTGTTTATAAGTCTCATGGCTTCTCTGTGCCCTGAATCGACTGCGCCGTGCGCGGTTGAGAAGTGATGGGAATCTGTGGCCTCTCCCGCGAACAAAAGGCGAGGAATTCCGAGTGTATCGCGCAATGGCTCCGCGAGCAATCTTCGATCATTCGCGTTTTGTGTCGTCAGACGATTTTCATAGGAATAACTACCGCGTGTGAAGGGGTTTGAGAACCAGGAGGATCTGTAAAGGAATTTCTAAATTGTAGAATATAAACGCTAAAAAAAACGAGTAAAGTAAATATATTAACATAAAAAAATATTCAATTTGGAACAGTTGTCCGAAATGTCCATTCATTTTGACGATACATTTTTATATTAAGACGTACCTTATTATTCCTGTCGGCTCCGGAATATCATACAATTTTCCCATGAATTTTCGCAAAAGCTCCATGCACTTTCGCTTCACAATGTCCTCTGGCATTACTTCTAGCTGGATTATAAGAAATATATTTTTAAAAATTAGTTTTTTTTCTTTCTTTAGAAGTTTTAATTTAAGAATTAGGGTATTGTCATTTAAAATTATAATTGTATTTTTTTTGAATCACGTAGAAAAAATTAAAAATGTTTACTGTCTTTTCAACTGTTATCTCTAAAAAAATTTATTTGTTTAAAAAAAAATTATAAAATATATATGTTTATTATGGAACATAAGATACATGTATCACTTATTCCACGTCATTAAATTTGAATCGGTAGATATCCCTACTCATCGGCAGACAGAGGGTGTAGGCCGAGAGAAAAAGCCGGCGTAAAAAACTCTCGGTACTCTTTTAAAACAGCAAATCATCAAACAACACTTATTTTAAAACAAATATCGCAAATTATTTAGAAGTAGCCTGTCTAGCACTAGTCCCAGGCCCTTTTATCAACTAGATAATCATTGACTTTATAGTAAGCCTTTTTACACAGCTTTTCTTTAATACATTTCTTAAATTTATTGAAAGGCAGAGATAAAAGAGCCTCTGGGATTTTATTAAAGAAGAGTATCCCTTTCCCCAAAAAATAAACTACTAACTTTAGATAGTCTAGTACGGGGAAATTACAGCCTGCGTTTGTTCCGTGTATTAACATTGTGCGTATGTTCTATTCTAGTAAACTTATCACTATTTTTGTATACATATACGTACATAATATTTTCATAAATATATTGCGAGGGAAAGGTAAGTATATTAATTTCCTTGAATTTATCTCTAAGAGATTCCCTACATTTTAAATTATTGATTGCACGAATAGCCCTCTTCTGCAGGATGAAAATAGTTTCGACATCAGCAGCATGACCCCATAATAATAAGCCATAAGTCATTAAGCTATGAAAGTAACTAAAATGAATGAAAGGAACCAGCTGCCCACTGAAGTATTTCCGAACCAATTCGACTGAGGTTCCTTCAAGAAAAGAGCGTACCAACTCTTAAAAGGCCGGCAACGCACTGGCGAGACCTCTGGCAGTGAGAGTGTCCATGGGTGGTGGTATCACTTAACATCAGTTGAGCCTCATGCCCGTTTGTCCCCTGTTCAATAAAAAAAAAACTTTTTCTTACAGACATAATTATAATTCTGAGATCAATCAATAACAATACTATCAAATTACTTAGGATTTAATCATATTTCTAAATTAAAAATACAATCGAGGTTAGTGCTGATTGTATCGTCAAAATATTACCTAATCCTGTAATAACCAAGCGTGGCATAATATATTTTGATTACAAATTTAGAAATATGATTATATCCTAAGTAATTTGATGGTATTGTTATTGATTGATCTCAGAATTATAATTAAGTCTGTAAGAAAAAGTTTTTTTTTTATTGAACAGGGGACAAACGGGCAGGAGGCTCACCTAATGTTAAGTGATACCGCCGCCCATGGACACTCTCAATGCCAGAGGGCTCGCGAGTGCGATGCCGGCCTTTTCATAGCTCTGTAAGATTTTCACCGATCTCGTTGAAATAAAAACCAAAGTATATTTCAATTTGCGTATTTTATTGCTATTACCCCAGATTAGTAACTATCAACACTATTAGGCTATGTTCACATGTAACGCGCGTTAACGCGCGTCAACGCGCGATCAAATTTGAAGAGCGTTCAGATGATGAGCGCTAACGCGCGTTGCGAGAGTACTCGTCAGTCTAGTTCGGTAGAACGTAGAAAATGGACGTGGAAGAGGCTATTATTTTGTGGTTATATTATAAAGAAAAATATAGAAAAAGAAAACGTACACATTGGGTTCATCCAATTTTGAAAAAAAAAATACAAATTATATTATATTTTTTATACAAATTTGCTATATTCCAACTTGCTGGCCTTTTTTCTACTTCATCGATTAGTAAGTCGATGTCAATATCTTCAATTTCACTCATTTTAAATGCGAGAACAAAATATAATTACGAAAATTAACAAAATTACATGCGATCGCGATGAAAGCGCGCGCTCATCTGAACAGCAAACGGACATTACATTAATATCAAAGCGCGCGTCAACGCGCGATCACCTGCGTCTAGAGACTTTTTCTCTGAGCGCCGCGTTGACGCGCGTTAACGCGCGTTGACGCGCGCTCATGTGAACAGTTGTATGAAAATACCACAATGTCTAGTCGCGCGATTTGAAAACGCGCGTCAAGTTTTTGCCATCTGAACATAGCCTTAGGATTATAAATGTCATTTTTACATTTACCCCTTCACACCGGGCAAATGCAATAGTTGAGCCAGAGTAAATAAATTTAATTATAATCTGTAATAATCGCTAATTTAATATAAGTAATTAAATCAAACAAAAGCCTAAAACATGTTTAATATTCACAGTAAAAATTATTTATAAATTGTAAAAGACCACAAAATGATATCCATTGTAAGTGTAAACATTATGCGGGTATATCATAAACTCTTTTGCTTGATTTATAATTTGATACATTTTAGTCTATAGTTATTTTGGGCTGGCGATCTGAGTGAGTTGTTGCCCCACATATTTTTATGGTGCCACTGGCGGTACTGCTGTGTACCGGGTTGTGCAGCTCCCTCAAAAATGGTTGAGCTGCATGAGCTATTCGGGGCATGCTTGCCGTCTGCTGGCACAGGCTTGCTCAGATCGATCTGGTTCTTTCTTCCAAAGACCAGTCCAGTAAATACTCTGCATTTGTTTACACCAATTTATTAATTTATTATTGTATTATCTGGACTATAAAAGAGACTAAGACCCCCGAGTTTGTTTCGACATTTCTTCTCAGGGCAGTCAGTTAGGAAATGTCGACTTCATCTAGTTTAGGATGACATTGTAAAAGTGATTTATATAGTCCTACTTGCAAGAATAAACTATTTCATTTCATTTCATTTCATTTCATTTCATTTCATTTCACATATAGCGGAATGTGTCAATCTAGTTATGGTACTCGCATTTACCCCATCTGACCCTATATACTTTAGAGGAATCTTTTTTGTTTTTTTTATCCCCATTACTCAGGAATGTCGTGGTAAAGTAGTACATTAAATTAATCTGCGACGAACTAACCGTTCTTTCAACACTCCCAACGAGATAGTAACGATAACGTAACAAGAGTTGTACGTGCTGCCATCTGCGCAGACGACTCGTACATCAGCGCCATCTTTTGGCCATATTATTTCTGTCACCTCCGTGTTGAGTTGTATATCAAGGTTTGGTAAGCCTCGTCCATTATTATATGTGTTCTAGAATATAATTATTATATACTAGTATTACTATTTTGCGTTGTATAGACCGCTATTACATTACGAAATTGTTGAAAAACGTAGCCTTGGAATTAATGTTAAATAAAAACTAGTATTAATTTTTGAATTGTATATAACTTTTCCTTATTGTTTAAAAATTGTCTACATTTCATCGCATATAATTGCCATAAATGTACTGTTTTGCGGAGTCTCATGAATTTCTGGTCGAAGCTTTCTGACGAAGACTTCGTGATGCATATGAAACATCAATGGACTATCAGCAGTTAACGACATAATTAGCCAGGCTAATTCATGCAATGACAATTTGTTAGATATAAAATCGGCATTAACAAGGCACTGTCATGGCGTTGCAGTCGATTCCCGTCTTACGCCTTTCAGCCTTGCGATTCCGTAACTCACTTTTCGAACGCGGCGATAACCGCTGTGTGAGTTCGAAAAGTGAGTTACGGAATCGCAAGCCAGGACTATGCCATAGAAATAGAGCTACTGTCGACGCGAACCATCATTCAAACCCGATTCGAAACCAGGTCATTGACTTGGGAATAACTCGGACTCTTGTTATATTTCAAAATCTCTTTAATATATGTTTCTTATTATTACAATTTACTATTTTTTATAAGTCTCTTGGCTTCTCTGTACCCTGAATCGATAGCGCCGTGCACTGTTGAGAAGTGAAGAGCATCTGTGGCCTCCCCAGCGAATAAAAGGCGAGGAACTCCGAGTGTATCGCGTAAAGGCTCCGCGAGAAATCTTCGATTATTCGCGTTTTGTGTCGTCCGACGATTGTCATAGGAATAGCTACCGCGGGTGAAGGGATTTGAGAACCAGGTGGATCTGAAAAGTTAGAATTTCTAAATTGTAGATTATTTAAATATAAGATATTTAATTTGTTAAAAAAAAATAAAAAAATAAATAAATCAAATTCAGAAGCGCAGTTCACGACGCCCTCACAATCTTATTGTACCTAAGTTTAGAACCAATAACGGTAAAAAAACATTGAGCGTTGGGGGAGTGCTGCGGTATAATAGACTTCCACAAAATATAAAAAGTGCAGACAGCCTGGCAATATTTAAATTTAGACTAAAAGACCATCTCTTGAGTCATTCCAGTTCTGTACGTAAATGAAAGTCCACCCAAGTTCTACTTCGCTAATTGACCCTTGAAGCTCTTCAATGACCCACGACGTGATAAATAGTATCTTTAGTATATTATAAGTTCTCATGTAAGTGACAATTGTCTGTTATGAGAATAAATGTCTTTAAACCTAATTTGCAGCAATTGTCCGAAAGATCCATTTATTTTGGCGATACATTTTACATTTAAGCGTACCTGATCATTCCAGTCGGCTCCGGTATATCATAAGATTTTCCCATGAATTTTCGCAAAAGCTCCATGCACTTTCGCTTCATAATATCCTCTGGCATTATTTCTAACTGGGTTATAAGAAACATTTTTGAAACTTAATTAAAACATTTGTTTTATTTTGTTTCTTTAGAAGTATAAAGTAAAGAATTTGTTATATTAAGATTGTAATCTTTTAATAATTTATTCTAAAGATTTTTTTCTAAATCTTAAACGTGGAGAGAATTAAAATTAACTACGTTTTCAACTGTTATCTCCAAAATGGTTAATTTGTTTTAAACGTAGATGTTCTAATATAACTACCAGCGAAATAATAGTTGTGTGTCTTCAGATCTATACAGGAATGTGATGTGTAATTATATTATTATTGAAAAGATAAATACCAATTTCCCCACTTCCCCACTAGTCCACAAACATAATGTATTTGTGGATCCCCTGGGCCTGCTCGCCCCAAAAATCTTCGTGATCCAATAATCCTCCTTCGGTAGTTTTTCTATATCCTCAGTCTTCCACATGAAACCGTAATATGTTTCCTGTCCTTGCCACCAAGCCTTCTCAAATTTAAAAATTATTTTGCAAACCGCACCTATAGATGTCTTCTCTATTGCTTCTTCTTTCTCCCGCGGCAACCCCGGCTTAAATAATGTTTCATATCTGAAATGTACTAATTCAATATCAGAAAATAGCTAATAATTATGTCTGACAAATTCTATAGAAGCTTTATGTTAGGAAGTTGGGAGTTGTTACCCAGTGCTTCAGATGAGCATGAAAAGGTGTACCGGTCTATAAGATTTATTCTATGTAGCTATAGTTCAATCTTACCGTTCTTTCAAAACCCCTAAAGAAACCGTAACAATAACGTGACGGGATGTGTACGTGCTGCCATCTGCGCAGACGACTCTTACATCAGCGCCATCTTTTGGCCATATTATTTGCGTCACCTCCGTGTTCAGTTTTATATCAAGGTTTGGTAAGCCCGGTCCATTGTTGTATGTATTCTGGAATATTTTCTTTTTTAAACTAAATAACTCCTTTTTTCCGTAGGGTTAGGCAGAGACCATGGATCTTCACTTGCTACAGTTCATTAGTCTTACAAACTCTGATAGGAAATCTTTATCTTTAATCAAATAAGGGTACTTTGATTTGACGTTAAGTAGTAACCTGAAATGGGAAAAATATAAATACCAGCTTGTGTATGGAAAGCGCTCTGTCTGTGAATAAGAACGTCTTTATTACTAACAAAAGTAATTCGGCACCCGATCTGGAAATGGGTAGTATAAAAGCATTTACCGCTTTATAATATTTGTAAAGATAATACAACTTTTTTAAATATTACTTAAATATTAATCTAGCAAGCAAACATTGTAACTAGTTATAAGCAGTAGGTAATATTATCTACAAACCATTGAAATAATTAAGACAAATAAACGTATTACAAAATACCTGCTTGTGATAAATTCTCCCAAGCCACCAACAAAAATTTTATGTTTTTGTCCAACCAATACAAAGCAAATATTCACGAGGTCGTTCAATAATAAATCATCATCAGTCTCCGTCCCATCGGATTGGTACACCTTGAAGATGGGATCTTGGGGTATAATTGTAATGTTGTGTTGCATAGCAATTCTATAGGTGCTGCTGTTACCTGTGCCATGGATCCTGAAAGCACATATGGATTGGATCATGGGACAACGATTATCCCTTTCTTACAAAACAATTACATATATACTTATCAGCGGGTTTCTAGGTGAGGTACTGGGACCACTTTTAATTAATATTTTATTTTTATTCTATGTAGATAACAATTCTATCCTTCAAATGTTATTTGTATTTGAAACCGAAAAGTAGGTACAGGTTGAAATAAATATAAGTGTAAATTTCAAAAATGTTTGAATTCAGTTTTTTTTTTTTTTAATTTCTTTATTTTACACAAAAATATAATACAATCATAATAAGTTACATTAGCAAACCGCTGTGGTTTATATTGATGTAACCATAACAGTCTTGTTTAGGAGCGCGACAAATGCATATAAAAGCAGTTTTTTAATTTGCTGTTTATATTGGTTGGCGTTAAAAACCCCAACCAATATAAATTATGACCTTTCATATGAACAAAAAGTAATATATGAGCCAGAACCCTATCAATGGCAACAACTTTTATATAGGTACATATGTAAAAAGTATATTAATGTCCCTTTTTTTGTTTTAAGATAAATAATTTCTCATCTAAAATATGGCTCGTTTAAATTACCATTCAGCACCAACTTCAACAACGCCATCACCAAATGGCACAGTCCGAACTCGACCACCGATCCTGTCCATGGCTTCGAGGGCTAGAACTTTCTTCCCAGCTTTCGCCAAAGTACTCGCAGCAGAGACGCCGGCGCAGCCCAGACCAATTATTATGATGTCGTATGTATGCATTGAAGATATCTATCAAGGAATAATATTTTATTTTTTACGTGAAATTCAAATTTTAAATCTTATTGGACATGCTCTCAGAATAAACATTTCCCAAAGAGTTTTTCATTAGCGTTTAGGTTACCAGACTTAGGTATATGTCTGACTCGTACTTTTTCCATAAGATGTTTTTCTTCACCATACAAATCGCGTACACAGAAAGAACATTTCATAGCAAGTGCGTTAGTAGTGCGTTGCCGATCTTATAGGAATTGGTACGCTCTTATCTCGAAGGAATAATGTCGAATTGATTCGGGCAGCTCCTGATAGTGGTGGTGAGTGGCATAAAGTGCCTTAAAAATCAGTCAACTTCGAATACCGTTGATGAAACAATGTGTGAATCGCACACATCTAACAGTTTAACTTGAGTTCTGGTATCTCAAGCATCGTTCTACAGTTCTCGATTATTTTACGTAATAGTTCTCTTATTCGGTCACAATCGAGTTTGAAAGAAATACTGACTTGAATTTCAGCATATCACAAGAAAGTGAATCCTTGCTTAATTGGCCTATTCATATTGTGTTTGTGCTATTTTTTTTTCTGAGTAAGTTCTGACGCACAAACTAGCCTTGATAAAGTTGAGAATTTTGCAACATAATTCTTAAAGACGTAATATTGAAGAATTCCGTCAAATTTAACAGGTACGTTTTTAGATAAACTTTTGTATTTAATGGTATTTCCGTATTAGGATGGAAATTTTTCGATTACTAGTAGAGGTCTGACCAGAACTTTACTTTAAAGTTTGGTCTCACGTGACTGGGTAGATTATTTAAATTTAAAAGCGCTTATCTTTTAAGACGAAATTTGTATTTAAACTCCGTTATAAACACAACATAGGAACAAAGAAAAACTTGAACCGCTAAACACACTTAAATAAAGAGGTAAATTAAGAATAGAAAACTCAAACACCAGGGTTTTATCTCCCTGTCCAACTACACGGGCATCCGCCGGTAAATCTTTTCGCGTACTTAAACTATGGTGAACTGAAAAATGCAATAATACATAAAAATTTAAGGGATGCACAGGGATTTCTTATCGCTAACAAGGGATCTCTTCCAGGCAACCCTGCCTGGAGATAAGAGTAAAGGAAAACTAATAAAAGAAATATAATGGGTAAGGTGAAAGAAATGCATAACCAAATCTTATTGAACCTTAATCTTAACGTGGGGTCACTCTGCTTCTTCTACCGCATTTACCATGGATAGTGTTCAGAGGAGTTGTTCGGATTAATACCTGCAGCTGAGTTTTATCATAGGACGTCGAAGCAGAATACGAAATTCCACCCGTATCACCTCGACGTCCGCCGTTCCACAACTGAGCGTTTTTCAAGGCAGTTTTTGCACACGCACTACCACTATGTGGAAGCAGCTGCCTACTGAAGTATTTCCAAACCAATTCGACTGAGGCTCCTTCAAGAAAAGAGCGTACCAATTCTTAAAAGCCCGGCAACGCACTGGCGAGATCTCTGGCAATGACAGCGTCCATGGACGGCGATATTACTTAACATCAGGTGAGCCTCCTGCCCGTTTACCCATTGTTCTATAAAAAAAATCTAAAATAATACAAAAAAATATTAATAATACAAACTAAAAACTGAATAGATAATTATATTGCCTTTCTCGACATACGAATATATAAGACTATCCAACAGAAATGTTTTCAAAACTGCAATTCCTAAAATTAGAGCGTTCAAACATATCTTGTTTTGTTTAAAAAAATCTGATTTAAATCAACAGATATTCTTCAAAATAAAAATTATTTTCCGTCGCCTAGCTTGATATGCCTAACATATCAGAACTATAAATTGAATAAAGTATATTTTCTTTACATTTAACACCTTTAAACCTCTTGAAACGTTTTGTAATAGCACTTTCACGTGAGGCAAATGAAAGACGAATATTCCATAGTTAGTTGTAATCAGTTTTATACATTTCAGTAAATTAATTGCGTAATTTTTTGTAAGTAAAAAAAAAGCCAATTTCGATAAAAATGCATGTAACATATATCGAGTTGTTATGTATATATAAGAACGATAATATATTTTTATACGTATGAATAAATGAAGTATCTTTTTTAAAGGTATCTCGAGCCGATATGCAGGCTCCCAAAAAAATTGTATCTTGTACAAAGGAGATCGTTCGTAAATATATTATAGTATATTGGAAAATTTAGTTTTGAAAGCTTTTTGACTCTAAGTCAGAGATGCTTCAAATTGCATTTTATATGATTCGAGTTGGTGACGAAGGCAGGTAGACAAAATTCCTTGTATTGTACACTTCTTGACAGATTACAGCAGACATTTGTTGATTTAGAAAAATCAAAGCTTTTCTCAAGAATTTTCTAAATAGCTCTATGCATTTTCGTTTCACGATGTCTTTTGGTAGTGTTTCTAGCTGCAATTAAAAAGATGATAGTAATTTAAACTCGTTGGTCTACCGAGTTGTATGTTTAAATGAACATATGGTCTTAAACCCGGGTTCAAAGATACTTTATTTCTCAAAGAATAACATTCACTTCGTGAGAAATTTTAGAGGTTAGTAATGTACATCGTTTTGAAACTATTTAAAAATAAGCTATGTAAAATAAAAATACTGGGTGGCGCAAAAGTAAAGACCCTATTTGGTTCAGCTATAACATTTTTTCTAAATTAGAAAACTAGATTTAGGTTTTTTCAAATGTATATTGCCATTAAATTTCGTACCATTAGGATTTAAAGATGATGTCTTTTAAATGGTGACCTCCAGAGTTGATGCACATTTAAGCCCTATTTATGACATTTTGCATAACTTGCCGTAATACTTCCTGCGATATGTTCCTTCTTGATGAATGTTTTCTTTTAGAGCTGCGAGAGTCTGTGTCATGTTCACATACACCCGAGATTTCAAAAAACCCCAAAGAAAGAAGTCTCGTCAGATCGGGTGATCTTGCAGGAAATCGTCGACGAAATTCACGTTGTGTTTTTATCACTGATGAATTATTCCGTAAGAATATTGACACGATTATTCCACGTTCTTGGGGAGTAAAACGGTCCATGTTTATTTTCAGTGTATTTTACATTTGTTCACTACACAATTTTCAACAACAGAATGAAAACTATCGTCATATAAAAAAATAAATTCTTTAGTGCCATTACTTTTGCGCCATCCGTTATTAGTTGCTAAGAATATGGACAATATTTTTTTACAAATGTGCTGGTAGGTCGCATCGATGTTACAACACGCATTGTGTGACTAATTAATAGTATATGGGTCACTGTCAAATTTCGCGCAGGTAACTTAGTCCCTCAACTATGATTATTGTTTTATTAGTAATAATTATGTGACTTCTTTCAAAATGTATATTAAATACAAAATATTAGTTTGTTACCTATGTATACAGTCATATGTTATTGTTAGCTATTAATATATAAATATTTAAAGTGATTAGATAGAATTTAATAGGTATTATTAAAATGCAAGAAGTAACAGAGTTGTTTGGAATTAAATAAATAATCTTTAAACTTACAAAAAAACTTGTGATTTTAATTGATATTATAAGATAAAATGCTGTAATTAACATTAATGCAAAAATACTTGGGACTGATTTGTTTAATTTCATAATAAAAATTAAAACGTTATGATAACAGAGTTGTAGTTTTTTACACCCTATCTCACAAAATCTGGAATAAATCACAAATCATTAGTTAAAGATCTTGGCCAACTATAACAGCAAAAACAGCAATATATATATATATATGTTTATGTTTTTTAGCTGCGCAAAATTTGACAATGACCCATATATCTTAATATATATAAATTACGTGTCACGTTGTTTGTCCGCTATGGAATCTCAACTACCGAACCGATATCAATCAAATTTGCACACCGTGTGCAGTTTGATCTAACTTAAAAGATAGGATAGCTTACATCTCAATTTATACCCGCAATATTATTTTATTGCAAAATATTTGTTTATTATTTGATAGTCACAATTCTAACAGATGGCGTTGTGTTGAAATTACCAACGTTTCACATAAGCTACAATTTAATGGCATAACCACCAATAAAGCATGGTGGTCCCCATGACTGGTGTTCTCCTACCGTTTCCCTTGAATAGTTTATTACTATGTAGTATAACAAAAACCTTAGCCACAGCTAAGCTTGTTAATTATATATATACACATGCTAGTGTATATATATGATATATATAATTAACAAACACTATTATGATTTAAGTAATTATGACTATTATATAAAACAGGATAATTTTAAATAAAAATAAAATGTCCTTCTTATCTTTAGTTTTCCAGAAAAGTAAAAAAAATATGCCTTATTTAGGCCACCAGGTTTGTCAAATTAAATGCCCTACTATCCCCTTAATGTACCCAACATTATTTGTCTTAAGGACGGTTTTAAAAAATTAGAAACTAGAAGGGACTAACAGTTACCTAATACAGAGACCTAATGTCTACTCAAAAACTTGCCGGGGTGGTGAACAAATAAGGTAGACCAAATAAATTTAATAAAACGCCACACGACTATGGATTTTCCTGATAAAATTGTATAATTTTAAATTTATACACTATTGATTTCATTAAAATCTTTTTTTTTTACATTAAATCCAGTGACGCTCTAACCCCATATACTCGTAGAACTCACGGTACAAGTTTAAAACAAATTGAATACAGACTTTGAATATCACGAGCTCAAACCACTAGAACACACTGTTTTGCCACTGCGACCACTACCAATGAAATAAAAAAATTAAAATACGCCTTTATCTATTAACATTAACAATATAATTATGTAAAGTAATTATTAAAGCATTGTGATGTTAAACGAAAATACAGATCGTGGCGCGTGTCTCTGTCTGAGCTACAGTTGTTTACAAACGAAACGCGACTTCGTTTTGGAGACCATATAGTTGCACCAAATTTTATGGAAAGCATAATTTTATAAAGAATGTAAATAGTATTATCTTTGATAGAATAGAGGACACCGTGAGCCATTTTTGCCAAAACCCTCCATCTTTTAGTCGATACCAACTCTGGGGAAATAAATACAGATAATGCAACTTTCTCTACAGCTGTGATACTTTTTGACATCCAACACCTTTTGTTTTCAGTCACCGTGACCACGCACGCTGTAAAGCACGCAAAACGTCGGATAAATTTAAAATTATGTTAAATAATTGTAAATTTATAATAATACATAACTTTAATGCGGTAAAAAGTTTTTTCTTTAAAGAATGTAAATGTTTAAAATTGTTACAATGCGATTTGTACTAAACAAATTTGGATGAAACGTAGAAACCAAAATAATTACTATTTTGCGTTGTATAGACCGCTATTAGATTACAAAATTGTTGAAAAACGTAGCCTTGGAATTAATGTTAAATAAAAACTAGTATTAATTTTCGAATTGTATATAACTTTTCCTTATTGTTTCAAAATTGTCTACATTTCATCGCATATAATTGCCATAAATGTACTGTTTTGCGGAGTCTCATGAATTTCTGGTCGAAGCATTCTGACGAAGACTTCGTGATGCATATGAAACATCAATGGACTATCAGCAGTTAACGACATAATTAGCCAGGCTAATTCATGCAATAACAATTTGTTAGATATAAAATCGGCATTAACAAGGCACTGTCATGGCGTTGCCGTCGATTCCCGTCTTACGCCTTTCAGCCTTGCGATTCCGTAACTCACTTTTCGAACGCGGCGATAACCGCTGTGTGAGTTCGAAAACTGAGTTACGGAATCGCAAGCCAGGACTATGCCATAGAAATAGACCTACTGTCGACGCGAACCATCATTCAAACCCGATTCGAAACCAGGTCATTGACTTGGGAATAACTCGGACTCTTGTTATATTTCAAAATCTCTTTAATATATGTTTCTTATTATTACAATTTACTATTTTTTATAAGTCTCTTGGCTTCTCTGTACCCTGAATCGATAGCGCCGTGCACTGTTGAGAAGTGAAGAGCATCTGTGGCCTCTCCAGCGAATAAAAGGCGAGGAACTCCGAGTGTATCGCGTAAAGGCTCCGCGAGAAATCTTCGATTATTCGCGTTTTGTGTCGTCCGACGATTGTCATAGGAATAGCTACCGCGGGTGAAGGGATTTGAGAACCAGGTGGATCTGAAAAGTTAGAATTTCTAAATTGTAGATTATTTAAATATGAGATATTTAATTTGTTAAAAAAAATAAAAAAATAGCTTTTCACTAAAATAAATCAAATTCAGAAGCGCAGTTCATGACGCCCTCACAATCTTATTGTACCTAAGTTTAGACCCAATAACGGTAAAAAAACATTGAGCGTTGGGGGAGTGCTGCGGTATAATAGACTTCCACAAAATATAAAAAGTGCAGACAGCCTGGTGATATTTAAATTTAGACTAAAAGACCATCTCTTGAGTGATCCCAGTTACATGCGTAAATGAAAGTCTACCCAAGTTCTACTTCGCTAATTGATCCTTGAAGCTCTTCAATGAACCACGACGTGATAAATAGTATCTTTAGTATATAAGTTCTCATGTAAGTGACTATTGTCTGTTATGAGAATAAATGTCTTTAAACCTAATTTGCAGCAATTGTCCGAAAGATCAATTTATTTTGGCGATACATTTTACATTTAAGCGTACCTGATCATTCCAGTCGGCTCCGGTATATCATAAGATTTTCCCATGAATTTTCGCAAAAGCTCCATGCACTTTCGCTTCATAATATCCTCTGGCATTATTTCTAACTGGGTTATAAGAAACATTTTTGAAACTAAATTAAAACATTTGTTTTATTTTGTTTCTTTCGAAGTACATATAAAGTAAAGAATTAGTTATATTAAGATTGTAATCTTTCAATAATTTATTCTAAAGATTTTTTCTAAATCTTAAACGTGGAGAGAATTAAAATTAACTACTTTTTCAACTGTTATCTCCAAAATGGTTAATTTGTTTTAAACATAGAAGTTCTAATATAACTCCCAGCGAAATAATAGTTGTGTGTCTTCAGATCTATACAGGAATGTGATAATTATATTATTATTGAAAAGATAAATACCAATTTCCCCACTTCCCCACTAGTCCACAAACATAATGTATTTGTGGATCCCCTGGGCCTGCTCGCCCCAAAAATCTTCGTGATCCAATAATCCTCCTTCGGTAGTTTTTCTATATCCTCAGTCTTCCACATGAAACCGTAATATGTTTCCTTTCCTTTCCACCAAGCCTTCTCAAATTTAAAAATTATTTTGCAAACCGCACCTATAGATGTCTTCTCTATTGCTTCTACTTTCTCCCGCGGCAACCCCGGCTTAAATAATGTTTCATATCTGAAATGTACTAATTCAATATCAGAAAATAGCTAATAATTATGTCTGTCAAATTCTATAGAAGCCTTATGTTAGGAAGTTGGGAGTTGTTACCCAGTGCTTCAAATGAGCATGAAAAGGTATACCGGTCTATAAGATTTATTCTATGTAGCTATAGTTCAATCTTACCGTTCTTTCAAAACCCCTAAAGAAACCGTAACAATAACGTGACGGGATGTGTGCGTACTGCCATCTGCGCAGACGACTCTTACATCAGCGCCATCTTTTGGCCATATTATTTGCGTCACCTCCGTGTTCAGTTTTATATCAAGGTTTGGTAAGCCCGGTCCATTGTTGTATGTATTCTGGAATATTTTTTTTTAAACTAAATAACTCCTTTTTCCCGTAGGGTTAGGCAGAGACCATGGATCTTCACTTGCTACAGTTTTCACATGTGTCTCTCTCTTTATCCACTTTCACACATTCACCATGCATGCTGGTCGATTATGGGTGCTTTTGACCTGTCCCTTTTTATTAATTATTTAACCTTAAATTTGTAAATTTGTATATTCTAGAAAGAGGAGTCACCAAAACAAAGGAGAGGATGCGGAGTCAGATACCCCGTGATTTATGCATTAAAAACGAGATTTATATTTGAAACCTTTTACATACTAAATACTATAAACTTACTAGCATCAGGTCGAACAATGTCTTGTACCCATATCTATGCCAACTCATGTGTTGGTGGCCTTTTAAATCTTCGTACTCACTCTGAGCATCGACCTCGTTCCAGTCATTTGTAGCCTCGTGGACGCTTATATACGAGTTCATTAGTCTTACAAACTCTGATAGGAAATCTTTATCTTTAATCAAATAAGGGTACTTTGATTTGACGTTAAGTAGTAACCTGAAATGGGAAAAATATAAGGATACCAGCTTGTGTATGGAAAGCGCTCTGTCGGTGAATAAGAACGTCTTTATTACTAACAAAAGTAATTCGGCACCCGATCTGGAAATGGGTAGTATGAAAGCATTTACCGCTTTATAATATTTGTGAAGATAATACAACTTTTTTAAATATTAATATAGCAAGCAAAAATTATAACAAGTTATAAGCAGTAGGTAATATTATCTACAAATCATTGAAATAATTAAGACAAATAAACATATAACAAAATACCTGCTTGTGATAAATTCTCCCAAGCCACCAACAAAAATTTTATGTTTTTGTCCAACCAATACAAAGCAAATATTCACGAGGTCGTTCAATAATAAATCATCATCAGTCTCCGTCCCATCGGATTGGTACACCTTGAAGATGGGATCTTGGGGTATAATTGTAATGTTGTGTTGCATAGCAATTCTATAGGTGCTGCTGTTACCTGTGCCATGGATCCTGAAACCACATATGGATTGGATCATGGGACAACGATTATCCCTTTCTTACAAAACAACTACATATATTTATATACTTATCAGCGGGTTTCTAGGTGAGGTACTGGGACCACTTTTAATTAATATATTATTTTTATTCAATGTAGATAACAATTCTATCCTTCAAATGTTATTTGTATTTGAAACCGAAAAGTAGGTACAGGTTGAAATAAATATAAGTGTAAATTTCAAAAATGTTTGAATTCAGTTTTTTTTTCTTTTTTAATTTCTTTATATTACACAAAAATATAATACAATCATAATAAGTTACATGAGCAAACCGCTGTGGTTTATATTGATGCAACCATAACAGTCTTGTTTAGGAGCGCGACAAATGCATATAAAAGCAGTTTTTTAATTTGCTGTTTATATTGGTTGGCGTTAAAAACCCCAACCAATATAAATTATGACCTTTCATATGAACAAAAAGTAATATATGAGCCAGAACCCTATCAATGGCAACAACTTTTATATAGGTACATATGTAAAAAGTATATTAATGTCCCTTTTTTTGTTTTAAGATAAATAATTTCTCATCTAAAATATGGCTCGTTTAAATTACCATTCAGCACCAACTTCAACAACGCCATCACCAAATGGCACAGTCCGAACTCGACCACCGATCCTGTCCATGGCTTCGAGGGCTAGAACTTTCTTCCCAGCTTTCGCCAAAGTACTTGCAGCAGAGACGCCGGCGCAGCCCAGACCAATTATTATGATGTCGTATGTATGCATTGAAGATATCTATCAAGGAATAATATTTTATTTTTTACGTGAAATTAAAATTTTAAATCTTATTGGACATGCTCTCAGAATAAACATTTCCCAAAGAGTTTTTCATTAGCGTTTAGGTTACCAGACTTAGGTATATGTCTGACTCGTACTTTTTCCATAAGATGTTTTTCTTCACCATACAAATCGCGTACACAGAAAGAACATTTCATAGCAAGTGCGTTAGTAGTGCGTTGCCGATCTTATAGGAATTAGTACGCTCTTATCTCGAAGGAATAATGTCGAATTGATTCGGGCAGCTCCTGATAGTGGTGGTGAGCGGCATAAAGTGCCTTAAAAATCAGTCAACTTCGAATACCGTTGATGAAACAATGTGTGAATCGCACACATCTAACAGTTTAACTTGAGTTCTGGTATCTCAAGCATCGTTCTACAGTTCTCGATTATTTTACGTAATAGTTCTCTTATTCGGTCACAATCGAGTTTGAAAGAAATACTGACTTGAATTTCAGCATATCACAAGAAAGTGAATCCTTGCTTAATTGGCCTATTCATATTGTGTTTGTGCTATTTTTTTTTTCTGAGTAAGTTCTGACGCACAAACTAGCCTTGATAAAGTTGAGAATTTTGCAACATAATTCTTAAAGACGTAATATTGAAGAATTCCGTCAAATTTAACAGGTACGTTTTTAGATAAACTTTTGTATTTAATGGTATTTCCGTATTAGGATGGAAATTTTCCGATTACTAGTAGAGGTCTGACCAGAACTTTACTTTAAAGTTTGGTCTCACGTGACTGGGTAGATTATTTAAATTTAAAAGCGCTTATCTTTTAAGACGAAATTTGTATTTAAACTCCGTTATAAACACAACATAGGAACAAAGAAAAACTTGAACCGCTAAACACACTTAAATAAAGAGGCAAATTAAGAATAGAAAACTCAAACACCAGGGTTTTATCTCCCTGTCCAACTACACGGGCATCCGCCGGTAAATCTTTTCGCGTACTTAAACTATGGTGAACTGAAAAATGCAATAATACATAAAAATTTAAGGGATGCACAGGGATTTCTTATCACTAACAAGGGATCTCTTCCAGGCAACCCTGCCTGGAGATAAGAGTAAAGGAAAACTAATAAAAGAAATATAATGGGTAAGGTGAAAGAAATGCATAACCAAATCTTATTGAACCTTAATCTTAACGTGGGGTCACTCTGCTTCTTCTACCGCATTTACCATGGATAGTGTTCAGAGGAGTTGTTCGGATTAATACCTGCAGCTGAGTTTTATCATAGGACGTCGAAGCAGAATACGAAATTCCACCCGTATCACCTCGACGTCCGCCGTTCCACAACTGAGCGTTTTTCAAGGCAGTTTTTGCACACGCACTACCACTATGTGGAAGCAGCTGCCTACTGAAGTATTTCCAAACCAATTCGACTGAGGCTCCTTCAAGAAAAGAGCGTACCAATTCTTAAAAGCCCGGCAACGCACTGGCGAGATCTCTGGCAATGACAGCGTCCATGGACGGCGATATTACTTAACATCAGGTGAGCCTCCTGCCCGTTTACCCATTGTTCTATAAAAAAAATCTAAAATAATACAAAAAAAATATTAATAATACAAACTAAAAACTGAATAGATAATTATATTGCCTTTCTCGACATACGAATATATAAGACTATCCAACAGAAATGTTTTCAAAACTGCAATTCCTAAAATTAGAGCGTTCAAACATATCTTGTTTTGTTTAAAAAAATCTGATTTAAATCAACAGATATTCTTCAAAATAAATTATTTTCCGTCGCCTAGCTTGATATGCCTAACATATCAGAACTATAAATTGAATAAAGTATATTTTCTTTACATTTAACACCTTTAAACCTCTTGAAACGTTTTGTAATAGCACTTTCACGTGAGGCAAATGAAAGACGAATATTCCATAGTTAGTTGTAATCAGTTTTATACATTTCAGTAAATTAATTGCGTAATTTTTTGTAAGTAAAAAAAAAGCCAATTTCGATAAAAATGCATGTAACATATATCGAGTTGTTATGTATATATAAGAACGATAATATATTTTTATACGTATGCATAAATGAAGTATCTTTTTTAAAGGTATCTCGAGCCGATATGCAGGCTCCCAAAAAAATTGTATCTTGTACAAAGGAGATCGTTCGTAAAATATTATAGTATATTGGAAAATTTAGTTTTGAAAGCTTTTTGACTCTAAGTCAGAGATGCTTCAAATTGCATTTTATATGATTCGAGTTGGTGACGAAGGCAGGTAGACAAAATTCCTTGTATTGTACACTTCTTGACAGATTACAGCAGACATTTGTTGATTTAGAAAAATCAAAGCTTTTCTCAAGAATTTTCTAAATAGCTCTATGCATTTTCGTTTCACGATGTCTTTTGGTAGTGTTTCTAGCTGCAATTAAAAAGATGATAGTAATTTAAACTCGTTGGTCTACCGAGTTGTATGTTTAAATGAACATATGGTCTTAAACCCGGGTTCAAAGATACTTTATTTCTCAAAGAATAACATTCACTTCGTGAGAAATTTTAGAGGTTAGTAATGTACATCGTTTTGAAACTATTTAAAAATAAGCTATGTAAAATAAAAATACTGGGTGGCGCAAAAGTAAAGACCCTATTTGGTTCAGCTATAACATTTTTTCTAAATTAGAAAACTAGATTTAGGTTTTTTCAAATGTATATTGCCATTAAATTTCGTACCATTAGGATTTAAAGATGATGTCTTTTAAATGGTGACCTCCAGAGTTGATGCACATTTAAGCCCTATTTATGACATTTTGCATAACTTGCCGTAATACTTCCTGCGATATGTTCCTTCTTGATGAATGTTTTCTTTTAGAGCTGCGAGAGTCTGTGTCATGTTCACATACACCCGAGATTTCAAAAAACCCCAAAGAAAGATGTCTGGACTCGTCAGATCGGGTGATCTTGCAGAAAATCGTCGATGAAATTCACGTTGTGTTTTTATCACTGATGAATTATTCCGTAAGAACATTGACATGTTCATGAAAATTCCATGTTTATTTTCAGTGTATTTTACACTTGATCACTACACAATTTTCAACAACAGAATGAAAACTATCGTCATATAAAAAATAAACAAATTTTATTTAGTGCCATTACTTTTGTGCCACCCGTTATTAGTTGCTAAGAATATGTACAATATTTTTTTACAAATGTGCTGGTAGGTCGCATCGATGTTACAACACGCATTGTGTGACTAATGAATAGTATATGGGTCACTGTCAAATTTCGCGCAGGTAACTTAGTCCCTCAACTATGATTATTGTTTTATTAGTAATAATTATGTGACTTCTTTCAAAATGTATATTAAATACAAAATATTAGTTTGTTACCTATTTATACAGTCATATGTTATTGTTAGCTATTAATATATAAATATTTAAAGTGATTAGATAGAATTTAACAGGTATTATTAAAATGCAAGAAGTAACAGAGTTGTTTGGAATTAAATCTTTAAACTTACAAAAAAACTTGTGATTTTAATTGATATTATAAGATAAAATGCTGTAATTAACATTAATGCAAAAATACTTGGGACTGATTTGTTTAATTTCATAATAAAAATTAAAACGTTATGATAACAGAGTTGTAGTTTTTTACACCCTATCTCACAAAATCTGGAATAAATCACAAATCATTAGTTAAAGATCTTGGCCAACTATAACAGCAAAAACAGCAATATATATATATATGTTTATGTTTTTTAGCTGCGAAAAATTTGACAATGACCCATATATCTTAATATATATAAATTACGTGTCACGTTGTTTGTCCGCTATGGAATCTAAACTACCGAACCGATATCAATCAAATTTGCACACCGTGTGCAGTTTGATCAAACTTAAAAGATAGGATAGCTTACATCTCAATTTATACCCGCAATATTATTTTATTGCAAAATATTTGTTTATTATTTGATAGTCACAATTCTAACAGATGGCGTTGTGTTGAAATTACCAACGTTTCACATAAGCTACAACTTAATGGCATAACCACCAATAAAGCATGGTGGTCCCCATGACTGGTGTTCTCCTACCGTTTCCCTTGAATAGTTTATTACTATGTAGTATAACAAAAACCTTAGCCACAGCTAAGCTTGTTAATTATATATATACACATGCTAGTGTATATATATGATATATATAATTAACAAACACTATTATGATTTAAGTAATTATGACTATTCTATAAAACAGGATAATTTTAAATAAAAATAAAATGTCCTTCTTATCTTTAGTTTTTCCAGAAAAGTAAAAAAAATATGCCTTATTTAGGCCACCAGGTTTGTCAAATTAAATGCCCTACTATCCCCTTAATGTACCCAACATTATTTGTCTTAAGGACGGTTTTAAAAAATTAGAAACTAGAAGGGACTAACAGTTACCTAATACAGAGACCTAATGTCTACTCAAAAACTTGCCGGGGTGGTGAACAAATAAGGAAGACCAAATAAATTTAATAAAACGCCACACGACTATGGATTTTCCTGATAAAATTGTATAATTTTAAATTTATACACTATTGATTTCATTCAAATCTTTTTTTTTTTACATTAAATCCAGTGACGCTCTAACCCCATATACTCGTAGAACTCACGGTACAAGTTTAAAACAAATTGAATACAGACTTTGAATATCACGAGCTCAAACCACTAGAACACACTGTTTTGCCACTGCGACCACTACCAATGAAATAAAAAAATTAAAATACGCCTTTATCTATTAACATTAACAATATAATTATGTAAAGTAATTATTAAAGCATTGTGATGTTAAACGAAAATACAGATCGTGGCGCGTGTCTCTGACTGAGCTACAGTTGTTTACAAACGAAACGCGACTTCGTTTTGGAGACCTTATACTTGCACCAAATTTTATGGAAATCATAATTTTATAAAGAATGTAAATAGTATTATCTTTGATAGAATAGAGGACACCGTG